TATCATGGCCTCTTGGGTTTCGGCAGACAGCTCCTCCTGTCTTTTCTCTTTGATTTATCAAGCCAGGACTGACAAGTGTAAACACCTGCCAGGCTGCCCTCCCCATTTGGGAGCTCTGGGTGGTTGGCTGTGGCCCATTTTTTAACCCCTTTGTGATGGATCCAGTTCATTATTTTCGCCTTGCTGCTGTTCCAGCCTCCCTTGCCTGGTGTAATTCCGTTCTACTTTCACACATAAACCGAAACACAATTTTGTGCAGGTTGCCTGTCAACAGGTGTCCCAGCTTAAGGTGCTTGCAATGTGGTATTTATGTGGCTGTGCCATAAAAGTGTCTACTTTAGGTTTGGCCTGCTGTTTTTCATGGGGGATGCATCCGTACCTTTGTGTAAGGTCTGTTTCTGCTCTGTAACTTTTCACATAGCACAACTGTCTAAAGTTGCAGAACTCACCCCCACTACCATTCACTCAGCTGTTAAATCACTTTAGCTTTTATTCACTTTCAGGGTCCATGAAAAGAAGCTCACAAACTATTCATCTCCCTCAGACATCAATTCTACTACTTATTGATGTTTAGAGGATCCGTTTACCTTGTAGTACATGCATACACACTTCTATTTTGTCCGGGCTTTCAGATATGCGTCACTGAGTTTCTACCTAGACCCAAAGACCTGAACACATTGCAGGTGACTCAGTTCTCAAAGGATTACAAATATGGCTGCCCTGTGGAACTACATCGAAAGACATGGCCACTAGTAAAGGTTTATAAGAACAGGAATGTATCCCAATCACTCTGTTAAACTTGCTCTAAAAAATATTGCTCTGAAATTCTTAAACTGATTTACAAAAAAACATTTTAAGGTTCAAATATCAGCACATCCTCCAGATCTGGTGATTTGCAACAAGAGTATATTGTCAGTAAGCTATCTTTTCTCTTGCCGTCCTGTCATTTGTAAAACCTTCAGCACAAATCTGCAGACATTAACCAGACTGTCAGATATAAACACAAGCAGGCTGCCCTTACATCAATACCGTCGGACAGCATTTAGAAGAAGCTGCTGCTGTTAAATCTAACCCAACAGCAAAAAACAAATCTGTGATTCTTGATGGCGGTAATGACGTTTTTGAAATGATTGACGTTTTCTCATTTCCATCAAACGAGATGACATGTGGACACAACATAGTTGAAACCGGGCGGCTGAAGCTTATGTTGAGCCACTCATACATTCATTCAAAACGTGAAACACGGTCTCAAGTGTCACGGGCCCAGCACAGTGAAAAGCACAATTTCCAAAAAATATGTTTTTTTCTGACATAGTGAAAGAATGAGCAATAGTAAAAAAAAAAACTTATTCTTTTCCTTGACCAATCTGTTCTGAAAGAAACCTCTCCCTTCCTTCACAATCAGACCATTCTCTTCTGTTGGCCTCCAGAGGGGTATCATCATCAGACTGTGAATAAATGCGGCTTTTTTGTAACAAAAAAAAATCCAAATGAAACATATAGTAATTTTTCTTGAGAAACCAGTTTCGAAGCTCATTCAGAGGCATCAGTCAGCCATCAACAGGTCTACTGGGATGTAATAAAACAGTTGTCTTTCACTCCATTGCACACGTCGTTTAGCAGAGTGGGCCTCAAAGGATGAACAGCTGGGACCTTCTCAGGATGAACTAATCATGTGTGCTTTATGCATGTGTGCATATGTTTGTGTTTAGGAGAACCAAACTTCATTTGTGTGTCCGTGCACGTAACTAAAGTGACAGAGAAATGTTGGCTTTAAGCACCCATAGCTAACTTATGTTTGCAAGAGCAGAAATAACATCATTAGGGTGGCTAATGTGTTTATTGTTAAAGTTAATGCAGCTTAGCTCTGCTGCCCCCATGAGTGGCTCCATTTGTGCTTGTCCTGTGGAATTGGAATTGTTTATCTACTTTAGGTTCTCTGAATGTGTTTATACCTTTAAACCATGCTTTTTTTTTTTCTGCTCCGAGCGGAGCGAGCAGAAGGTGACTGATTGTGTTAATGAGTTCACGCGTGTATTTGTAGAAGGGCATGTAGACGGGCCGTGGTATTTTTATTACCTGCTGGTGTTCCCCTACCAGGATCGAGCTTGATTAAGTCTACCCCTCTTTTGTTTTTTCACTTCATGAATATGGGTGTGTGCACACACTGCTGCTTTAAACACTGAATGTGCAGGAGGTGCAAAACAAAAAACAAAACAAAAACAATAACGACTAACTAGTTCTCAAAATCTCATTATCAATCAGGAGCCTGAATATCAGGCACACAGATTATTTATTGGATTGGTCTTTTTTTTTGGGTGGTTATTTCCAAGGCCTGCTCTTACAGGAGAGGATCTCAACACACTTTTACCTGTGCTGGTTTTTGGTATCTGTTAATTCATTACTGGATTGTGAACACAGCTTAGAGCCTTGGTTTTTAAATCTTTTTGTTGCCACTGTACGTGAGAAAAAAAGACTGTAACACGCTTACACACAAGGAGGTAATTTTCTCTTCCACACCAGGAGTGTAATTCGGTAAAAACAGAGTGTGTCTTGCTCCCGTCTCTTACGCATACGTTGGAGGTGGTAATGAAAGGGCTACTGGTAGGCTTCAAGGTTTAACTTGTGTCATTTTATGCTCAATTTATCTTGCATATCGCAGGAGGCAATGAGAGCCGTTTATCGGCATCCATTAAAACCCACTGATATGAAAGGGAGGGTCTGCCTCTCCTTCAGCTACCTCTGATTACAAGAGAGAAATCTTTATAGTGGCAATAATTCAACAGGATTAATTCAAGAAAAATATCATCTATATCTATGCCACAATAACACTGTTGTAATTGTGATTCTGGCATAATTAGTTCTTTCTAAAAAACCCAATTACTGACTTATCCCCTTTTATCAGAATACACAAAGCCAGATCTTGTTTTGTTGGCCAGTGCGGCCTCCATCCATCATTCACTGTTTTCTCTCCCTAAGGGCTAACCTCTCTGTCTTATGCTGCTTCCTGCTCATCAATCAGTCAATTACTGGAGGAGTTCTAGGTCAACGTTCACAAAAGACACATTTTAGCCCTCCACAGAGATTCCCCTTACTGTAAAGCAAAAAAAAGATCCAATTTCTATTTACAATTTGGCCTAACTTAAAATGTACACATCCCATGCACCGCTGAGAGAAATGTTGCTGAGTGATTAAGGGGAGAGGCAAAGGATTCACTTTTTCTGTATTTTCTCTTCATAAAACATACAGTCGAATGCGGCCCATAAAAAACAGTGTTTGGAAGAAAGGAGTAGGCCAAGGAGCAAAAAAGGAGGGAGGGAATGAGAGGCTTTTGAGATCAAGGTCGTATCCAGGCTTTAGTATTGGTATTCTCCTCAGTGTTAAAATGAATCTACCAGTGAATAGTGTTTTCATTCCTCTCCTGAATGAGATTCACAGGAGCATGGAGAGAGAAAGAGAGAGGGGGGACGAGAGGGACATGAACAGAGAAAAGAGAAAGTAACCCCTCCTCCTCCTTCCTCTCTCCTGTTTCTTCTCCCCTTGGATATACAATAGGGAGTGAAAATACAGCGTGGGATAAACAACTTTTATCAGAGTAGAGCAAATGAAATCGGCTATTTTATTCAATTCTTCATCCCTGAAGCATCTCCTGCTCTGTCTACCCGGCTCCATCTCATCCCTGCACTTTCAGCATAAAAAACAGAAAGAGTTTAATGCAAATTAAACGCTTTACTCTTGATTAGATTACAGACGCAATAATTGTCTTGGATGATTTATGGGTGTAATTGGTTGCCATAAACTGCAGTCAGTAAAGCTTAGTTGCCTTGGTTTGTGCTATGAAAACATTACATCATCGGCATGTGGGCTATTTTCTGTAAAGCTGGTTTCAACATGTATGGTACCATTAGAGAATTAGATTTGCAGAGACAATTGATTCTGCAGCTTGGTTGATACTACAGGCAAAATGGCTGCCATTTTTAGTTTTTCTTCCTCAGATGTTTTTTTTCCACCACAATGTTAAAACTAATTATAATTGTTTTATCTTTTTTCTGAACTTCTGATTCAATATGCCAAGGAACAGGAACGGAATTTTGATCCTAGCTTTGAACAGTATTTGGATCTTTGTAATGGAAGTGAATCCATGTTTCTGCAATCTGCAAATTAAACAGATGTTTAAATGTTGTAGACATTTATCTATTTCACACTTCACTGTTTATCTTCCATTTGATTGAATCGAGTACGATTATATAATTTGAATTGAGCTGAGGCCTTCAGTACTGAGAACTCAGCGTCAAAATGTAGCTTCACAAGAGCAGAATATTTTCTCACTTGTCGCATGGCTCTTAATAAACTAAGTGTTCTGCTATTCAAACCAATCTGGGTAACAATGAGAAATGTAATAGTGATGGAAAAAAGAAAAGGATAGGTTTTCAGGTGATAAAATGCACTCATACAAATTAAATAACCTCCCTGCAATAAAATTAATCATCCATACTCGTGTTCCATGAAATGTTTTAACCTATGGTTATTAACGCAGTCAGAACATAAGATTGCTACCCTTGGTAAAGTCTGGCAGGTGGGAAATAAGGGGCATATCCTAATTTCTCCGAGAGCACTCTCGCCTCCGTAAGGCTCAGTCACACACAGAGGGACAGAGAAGCATCATTCCCTGCCTGACATCGATCTATGACGCATATTACCACCCTAATCCAATTAATTCTGTTTCGCTTGCACTGTGGGTTACTTGAGTCATCGAAAATGCTTGTAAATAAATCTCTGACAGCCTGAAAGGGCCGAGCAAAATGCACAAACAACCAACTCAATTGGAAATGAAATTATTTGGCATTCCCGACCCGCGGCTTTATGCCTTTCTTTGTGTGATGCAGAGAATGCAGAAACAACTGGTTACGCAGACAGGTGAAAGTAATGCTTGAAGAACCTACTGTATTCCTTTCCTTTCCGTTTAGCTCCTGCTTATCAGCCACCTCTGTCTTTTTTTTGTTCAGACTGAGCCAAATCTGTCATAGAGGACCAGCAGCAGCAGTGTTGGTGCGACCATGAGGTCGGAGGCCTTGTTACTCTACTTCACGCTACTGCAAATAGCCGGGGCCGGTTTCCCTGAAGACAGCGAGCCTATTAGCATCTCACATGGCAACTGTAAGTATACATTCTTTCTTTCTTTTCTTTAGGTCTTTGTTAGTACTCCTGCCGTGGTCACTTTACTTTTTAATTGTCTCCTGCTTTAACATTTTTCTCAGTATTGTTCTCACTTTATCTGTCTCTTCTTCTTGATTAGCCTCCACTTCAACCCCCATCTTATGCAGTCTGAATGCTTTTTGAGGCATGGTGTGTAAATTGATGCCCAAAGATAGCCCCTCTGCACACATTAAAAGGGAGGACTTAAGGCAGCATTTGAAACAGTGCCCATCCCACATGAAAGGATAATCTGCTATTTTTCTGTCGGGCTCCTCATGCTGCTTGTGATAGTGTAAAGACTGTGGAAAGCTACAAAGATATGGCCATTGTTTTTTCTGGTTCTTTCCCCGTTTCATCCTCTGTTGGGCCCTGTTCTTCTTTCTGTAGGCGTAACGCTGCATGTTCTGGCAAGGAGAACTGAAAGACAAGCCAGCCACTCTCTTTTGGACCTGTGTTCCTTTATCAGACAGTTTTTTTAAACAAGTGCTTTCATCAAAAGCCACCACCAACAGAAAGAGTGAAAAGAGTTAAATATATTTATTGAAAACAGTTGCAAGTTGCCAGGAGGATGTCAAACCACAGTTTAGCTCAGTCTTACCAACTACCAAGAATGCATGTCTTGACATTTAACCCCTCCGAGAAACTTGAGAAAAGGTGTGAAATTCATGATATCCTGAAGTCATTGCTGATCCTAAAGGTTCTCTCCTTACAGACACGAAACAATATCCAGCTTTCGTGGGCCACAAGCCTGGAAGGAACAACACACAACGGCACAAACTGGACATTCAGCTAATCATGATCATGAACAGGACATTATACATTGCTGCGAGGTAAGTGATAATCACTGTTTAAGCTCAGGGCGGCAGCCAGCACAATCATGAAAATATGTTGTTTTGCCTTTTATTGTGGAATAAAATCAGAGAAGGTTTGAATTCTTCCCCATATTCTTTAATATTGCAGTGATTTTATGAACACAACAGACCGTTTTAACTCAATTACAGACAAAAAACAGACCACTCTGAGATGCTGAGTTTGTTTCTGCACCTAAAAATGCAATTGGTTTTCTCCCTTCAAACATACAAAATTGCTCTTTCAAGTTGTAAGAAAAAACATCAGTTTTTAAAGTACAGTGCTTCTATATTCTAGTGCATGGCTTAAATAACAAAACATCTTTTGTACTTTCGTGGGACCGTTTATTTCTCGGTGTCAGGGCCTCAGAGTGAACTTCTGAGCCCTGGGGTGCTCTTCTACATTGTGGGAATCAACTGGGAGCTTTTAGTTTTCTGGTGGATGTAAGAGCTCACATACTCACACTGAACGAATAGCGTCCTTGTTTTTTGTAATCCACATTTAGGTTTTCAATTCACTCTCCAGTTCATTCCAGTTAATTCGAGTCGAATTTGAAAGAAGTAGCCAAACATCTGTGGATTTGTCAGACATCACCAGCATTGTACTAGTGAGAAAAGTCCCAGAAAATGGCTTGAGCTCCACCTGAGCACATCTTGCTCCCACCGGAAGAGGAAAGCTGGTGGTGTGACGACATCTTTCAAATTCTTGTGTGCGCCAAAGCAGAATATGTGTAAGAAAAGGAATATTAATAATAATGATGATAACTGTTATTTGTATTGCACATTTAAAATCTTGACATCAACAGAGGGCCAAACAAGACACATAAAAAATTAAATCAGTGCAAGTCTTTAAAAATGGGTTTCAAGAAGTTATTTAAATACTTTGTTACATCTGTGTCACTCTGGGTTCGAATGGATTAATGTACAACCTGTGTAAAGAAAACCAATCAGATTTTTTTCTTTATTTGCTTGTTTGTATCCCTCATAAATTGACACTTTTTATTATTTATCTGACTCTCTCTCCATGTGTCCTCTCATCATTTGAATTACTCCTCATTTGAGAGAATAGTGTCAATTGCAGCGTTACGACCCATGAAAAAAAAAAAATCCACAACGATTTTCCCTTTTTTCTTTTAGAAATGCTTGCTCATTTCACCATCTCATGATTGGTGATCTGTAAAACAGTCATGCTTAAAGCACCAGCCAGCAAGTTTACCTTTAATGAGGTCTGAATGTGCACCGTGATGTAAAAATACTGTAGCAATGGAAAGGTCTCAAGAAAATGGATCCTTGTGTGCTTATTCTTTTGCCATTTATGGCTAATTGAGTGGCAGGCTTGATTGGAGACCGTTGAAAGCCACAATAGGGGGTCTTTCTTTGTTTTCCTCTCAGGCATGTCAAATTAAGTGGCAGAGGGAGGGTACTGGCTTAAGTGGCAGAGCTTTTTAACATATCTGTAGTCATTAAGAGAAGGTGTGTGGAAAGAGAGAGGAAACAGAGCAAAAGAGAGAGCCTGTAAATGTGTGTGTGCACGCCTGTGTGTGTTGGGACTACAGCGACTTTGTTCTGCCTGCTGCCCACCTGCTCAACATAGTATACTTGGAGCCTGAGGGGTCGAAGAAGGAAATGAGACACAGAGTGTTTATAGGAGGTGTGTGTATGTGAGCAAGAGCACATGGGTGTGTGTGTTTCCCAGTTTAGCGTGCTGACCAGTTGTCCCCCGGATTTTAAAGCGACGTCTGTGGCCACATGTGTGCATATGGATATGCATTTGGGATGGTGAACATGAGGTCCGGTGGGTGGAGGGAGCTGCTGCCAGAAATCTTGTCTGCATTGACTCTTTTATGTGTTAGTCTGCGAATGTGTGCTGTTCCCCGACTTTCATACATGTTTGTTGCAGACAGGAATTCTGACATGTGGTCATGGTATGTTGACCCCTGAATGTGTGGAATGGCTGCCTCTTATTAGACAGAGTCGGATGACCACCATTGATCCTGACAGAAAGGGGAGAGTTAGAGTCGATAGCATGGACACACAAACGACAGTTTTGGCACAAACATCCACTGGCTCTAACAGGGTATCGATAAAGACAAGTAAAAGTTAAATGACGGAGGAATGCAAACAGCAGAGACAATTACCACTTCAGAAATCAATGTGAAAGCAAGCCAACAGGCAGCAGGACTCAAGCTATGAAACAACGCACAATACAGCAGACAGAAACTGAGCAACATCAATAGTTGCTTTTATGAAGGTTGTCAAGTTAAATGGCTTGTTTATTCTGGGGCCAGCATCACACAGCTTTGCCATCATGCCTCTAGACCAGTACGCCTCAGTTCTTGGTGTGCAGCAGCTTGCAGATGGCCCCTGTGAACACAGTCCAAAATGCAACACTGTTTCAGCCTGTTTTTTTCAATGACTGCTCAGTGTATTAAATCCCTTTGGCTCATTTTTCCGCTTTGGCAACAATAAAATAAAAACAGATTCTAAGGCTGTAAGCTGTGCAGTACATACAAATACATCAACCAATGAAATTGTAAATATACAAAAGTGTCTTAATCCATGGAGAGAATTAGCTAAGTTGTTGGAATGGAGAATTGGTACAGCAGATGCTATGATTGATAATTTATCTTGAGAATTCAGCCTTGAATCTTTCACACAGACAGTCAGACAGTGTCATTTCGGTCAAAATATGTGCACAAGTAATGAATACTGTGGCCTATGCCAGCAGGGTCGTATGGCTAGTATTTACAAAATGTCATTAGCCTTCTTCAGTTCTGAATTCAGTTCATGACTAGTTTGGTTCTCTAATATTCTGAATGATATTCCATGGCTTCAATTCAATCAAGTGTTTTATCCAGAGGGACACTACAGCTTGATAAGATGTCAGCATGTGTGCTTTTCATGTGAAAGCTTTCCAAAAGCCTGCTGTTTATTTAGCTTTAGTAAGACAGGCACTGGGCTGAGCGTAATGCTGATTTTTCTATTTTCCTCAAACATTTGGCTTTAACGGGAAGGACGCCAAAGCAGAATTTCTGCCAAAATTATTGTCCTTATGACAAAACACTACAGAATAGAACTGATTAGTTGTAGCAAGAGGTGCTCGGAAAGTAGCACATAGTCCAATGACGTAAAGGACACATCAGTGGCTTTTCAACCAAACAAGGCATGGTCTGCTTTTTGGTTAATGTTACTCAGATTTTCATTTGGAAATACTTAACATCAGTGAGTGTACCACTTTTTTTTGGATCTGCCTTACAAAAATCCGTGTTGCTTTGAGAAATCACACTAGAATGTCGAACGTCTTATGTATATATACCCAAAGTGGTTGTGAGCAGGAAAAATTTGTTTTTTCCATGTTCAAGTTGATTGAAACTGGACTATTTTTGCCTGTTTTGGTAGTTGACTTAAGAAAAAAGAACATTTTTTCACTTCATCTGAGTTCAGGGTCTTAAGTGGAGAACTTGCTTTGCTCAGTTCCCATTTAAAATGTGTCATTCATGACACCTTTTAATTACTGGGAAAAAGATGGAACAGACACGTTTGAACTGCTATATATTAAAAGGAAACAATCTTTAGAGTTCGACTTAAACACAGATCTGATCCTGACACCACTGTTCGTGTCTGTCACTGATCTCATTGTTGTGTTTCAGACTCTGGGTTTATTGTCAATTGTACATAAATTATAACAGATTCTAGAGATATTTAGATTTGACAGATTTGACGTTTTTTAACAGAAAACAATGCATATTTGAAAGGGAATCGAGGGACAGACATCAGCCATCAGCCGTATATTAATGAAGAGAAATGTGTTTATATATATCAAGGTCTGGTAATGAACATAAAACATCATGTGTAACCTCAGTACTTTATGTGGGTCTGCTGTCATGTATATTAGTTGTTTAGCAGCAGAGGCACATTTAATAAAAGCAATAAACTGTTTGGTGAGAGATGGACGTGGTAGTATTTCTATCCCATAGGTTCATATTTCATTTGCAGGGCACACTATGTACAGCATTCAGAGGGAATTTATCACAGTGCAGAGGAAGATTTATCTTTTCCATTTCTGCAGAAAAATAGTGTGTGTGCGGGGGGCAGGGTCCAGACATGACTATGGTGTAGCGCATGTACAGCTGTGACCACATCGAGAAAAACGTTACAGTGACAGGCCTCAAAAAATGTTTGTATGTTCGTCATTAAACTTTAACTATGAACATGAGACTTCTCTGAAAGTTTTTAATTTGTTAAATGAGTATTATCATCCCTGTGCCTGTGTTGAATTTTAAATTTTTTCATTACATAAAAAATGTCATTAATTTCCTTAAAACCCTTTAGAAAGTGGATATGAAATTCATTTCTACTTAATTTGATCAGTGAGGTGAGGAGAGTTTCATGTTCTAAGACGACTACAAGATAACAAAGTAGCCATGTTATTAAAACTATTATGAGCAATTTGAACATTAATGGCTATGTAAGCTTTGCCACAATCTTGGTGGAGTATCTCTCACTACTCATCAAAAGTGTTGTGTACACACAACAATAGTATTACGATAAGCCAAAGTTGAATCGGGAAATGAACGATTCAGCTTTTGTTTTCTATTTAAGGTCAGCTGCTTTGATACAAGTATGCAGTTAAGTGTTTCTTTCAGCGAACTAGCTCATTTCCATGTGGTCATTAACCATGAATGATCCCAGCTACCAAAAAGAATGAAGGCCAACACTTTGGAAAGGTGACACAGAGGAATTTTTCTTTTAGGTTTTATGCAATTGCTCGCACATAGTTTTTTGACACGGCAAGACAGATAGTCCATACGTGCTTGTGCTTGTGAGTACGTGTGACGATGTTACAGTATATGCTGCCTGGCATGCATGCCCTCCCGCTCTCCACATGCAGGGCATTGTCGCCATTCCTGGGTTGCAGTCAGCCTTTGCCATGGTAACACCAGCCACACTCTGTTTACACCCCTCCATGAAGCTGGGAAGCATGGGAATCATACAGAGAATGTGAGTGCGTGTGGGAAAGAAAGGGCGATGGAGTGATCAGTGTGAGAGTGAGAGCCGGAGGACCAAAATTTGTGGTTGCCGTTTGACACACACTTACAATAAAAAATCCAGATTACCTTCTCTCGGCTGAGTCCACTGGAATCAGTGCATCTCTGTGGACGCTGCTCCTCCCTGTTGGGTCTCTTTGGGTCTCGCAGTGGAGGCCACTAGAGTTTCCATTATTGTTGCTTCACCAAATCCTGTTAAAGCCCACTAATGACGGGGATTACACGGTTGCCTCCTCTCCCTCTTCTCACAGCACCAACATCCAGCAATGTCCACCCTTCTGAAACAAAGCCTGCTGCCCCAGTAATCATTATCGTCATCAACTGCTGTTAAATTTGCACCAGATTGTTATTTTAAACAGATTGTACAAAAATTTAAGTTGCTTTTTTGTATTAGCTCATTAAAGTAAAAATATACCGACTAGTCATAGTGGTTGATTTCACAAAGCCCCTACAGCTAGAAAACAGTACATGTGCTACAGGTCACTCCAGTTAGTTATTAAGGCACATCTGGAGTGTTGGAGGCTTTGCTGCCATTTTCTCTTCACATACATTTTTAAAGGGTTTCTTTTGATGAATTTACTGCACATGTCCACTTGAAGCCTGTATTAGAGCAGTTGTAATACCAAAATACTTCCATATTACTCGCCACCAATTGGAAAAGACATGCAGTCCCTAACTGGAGCACATTATCAGCTGTGACTGTCTCCACCTCAGTGTTGCTGAGCTCAGAAGATTCATCTGGAAACATTTATGCAATTCAACTAGACTGATGCAAAAACATGCAAAGAAAAGTTCATGACTTATTTATATATTGTGGGAAATGGCGTATATTCTAAGACTTACATGTAAAGAGAAATAAAAAGAAAAGCCCCTCGCACTACTAAAACTGCCACACACAATGAGACGCGCACAAAGAGAAATGTGTGAATGTGGACACCCATAATGAAAACTTCAACCTTCAAAAAAGAACAACCTGCCTCAGCTTGGGGGTGGGTGAACCCTGGCTTGTTGCATTTCATGCCACCACATCACTGAGGGCCTCTCGATGCCCTCGGCTCTTTCAGAACTTCAACAACTCCCTTCACAGCCCAAAGGTGCCTGCTGGCTTCCCAAGTCCCCCCATCCACTCTGCTGAAGAGGATTTGAACCAGTGAACAATGTACAATAGGCCCTCCTCCACCACCCATGATCCAGTTATGAAGAGAGAGGAATATGGCTGAAGAGGGCGATGAGAAAGAAAGGGTGGGGGGCGAACAGGAGGGTGGATGTGCATGCATTTAGTTTGCGGAAAGTGGGGTGGTGGTTTAAGGTGCGAGATGCATGCTAATCACATTCCTCTTTTCTGCTGCTGGAGTGCGAGATAGTTTGACAAAGACCCAACAGATGGACTAAGCTGGCCAACAGTCACCCCAGAAGAAATCCGCTGTTATGAAAACGACATTCTTCTGCACAAAGAGTCTGTGTTCTCATGGTCACTCATGACTACATGTTTGATGGAGAGCCTCAATGTCAATCAATCTCACACCCGCCCTGAGTTCTTCTACTGTCTTGATCATTCAGCTCCTTTCTCACAGTGGGTGCTCATCTCCGTATTTGCGCCCAATGGAATATTTGCATAGCTTCCATCCTACTCACTCATATTTGTCACTGCATTTTGGGAAGTGCAAAAGCTCATGCCAAGCGCTTCTCATAAACACCCAATGTTCTGCACTGACCCAGTGTCAAAGGCTTCCAGTTACTCCATGTTCTTCAGAATCCCACTGTGTTTTGTATTCAGTCATCAGCACTGAAACTTCATGTTTTATGTAGCAGCATTGTGCCTGCGATCAACAGCTGGTTTCCATTTGATGATGGCGAGTCCATGAAAAGGCTTGAACACATGGGACAGATTCAGATTTTTAGTGGGGTGTACCTAGCTAAGGCAGAGGTGAGGCTCTGAAAAAAGAAAGGTGTTAGAAGGGTGGTTTTGCCTACCAATATTATATGGCTCACCTTATGTGATTATCTCAATCTGTAATGGCTTAAAAATAACCATGTGAAATCAAAGGTCAATGAGAAATTCTTGTTAATTGGACATTGTTTCTACTTGTGTCTGATGGCTTTATTAAAGAGGTTGCTACATTTTTAGATACATTATAATGAACAGTTTATATGTATTATTCAACTACCATCATAAAAGGTATATTGAAGTGGAATACTGTTGAGAAGGTATCAAAGAAGCAAAGCCATTGAGGAATGAATGTTTTGGAGGCCATATCAAAGTTTGAGGTTTGAGGAGAAATGGAGAATCTTATTCATAAAATTCAATCAGAGGCAAGGGCACTTGGATTGACCCAGATAAAAATACAAAATCTCAAAAATATTTGAGATGAATAAATAGGAAAACAGTAATCAGCTCTTCCTTGATGGCAATACGTGATGAAGGACAAATTCAAAGGTTTATGAACACTCAGACCATATAAACATAATTACCCGTATTTTAAACAGCTTGTTACTAGTCAGTGGTCGTAGAATAGATAGAACAAAATATACTTTGTTGTTCCCTAGGGGAAATTCGTCATGGACATGTACATGTACATGTACTGTATTTTTTCAAGAGGTTTTTTATATGTAATTTTCTAAACACATTATACAATTATTGCAGGACTGTTAGTTCGACACAGGAGCACATTTTAAACATTCTGTATCACACTGAATTAAAATGCAAGCTGTACCAACCAATAGGAGGATGAAGGAGAGATGAGAGGCTTAAATCAAAAGCAAGTGGCTGCCTTCTTTCTGTCTAAACTGGGGAACAGTTATTATAGTATGGCCTACCTAAATGATGTGACTTACTTTTTCTGTTGAAGTGATTATCTCTCGAACCCATTATGACTTAACAGCTACTAGTCCCCTTGAGAAATCTTATAAAAATGATACTCCCCACCAACTGTATAACTTTGATGGGATTCATTAGGCTTTGTTAATTTATCTCTTCAAAGTACTCATAGTTTGTCTTTAAATCTTGCTATGCTCAGACCTCTGAATCTTATCAGTCCAAAGAAGGGAAAGGGAAAGATTCTCACTGATCAATCAGTGTTGCACCCTTCTACATCCTTAAAGGCTGGCCGTCGCAGTACTAAAGACGTTGTGTGGTGCACAGGCTTCAATGTAGAGATAAGGAACTGGTGTTATGGCTCTACCTGAACCTTTAACTTTTCTGAGCTGCTCTTTAAGAAACCACTTAAAAGACATATATCATTGGTCTTTTTTTTTTTAATTTTGGACCTAGAAAAAACACACATGTTTAGTCCCAACAACACTTAAAAGAAAGCAATTGAACACCTGTAAGAAGCAACAACTCTAACCAAAGAGAGAGCTAAGTCAAAATGTCTGCTCTTTTTTAGAGCCATGCAGATACCAGAGAAACCATTGTAAATCTCTTTGTGTACTGTGCTTAACATCATGTTTGACATTTTCTTAAACAAACTGAAGGATCTTAGAGTGATGCATTACTCTTAAGCAGCCACTACTTTCTGTTTAGTTAGCCACAGTTTGAAAAGAAACTAATTTAATGTTCTATCCTTGACGTTTTTCAGAATATAGGCAGTTTCTCATTCGGCATTGTGAGCCAACTCTTCCATTTCCAAGCTATTTTATTTCATGAAATAAAAGCATTCTTTGGTTGCGGCTTCTTTTACATAAGAATTTACTTCTCTTTATAAAGATATCAGTTATCAAGTCATAGATATCCTGATCTGTAGATTGTCCAGTAACCTCAACTTTAAAATCTGGGAATCTGAAGATCTTAAGATTAACAGTTGTCCGAGGTCCCTAGTATACCCTGAATACGGATTTATGTGGTCTTTGAAAACTCTGCTTTGTATCTTTGTTTCACTGTAAAACTATGCAGATGTGACTCAGTGCAAAGGGGGAAGTGAACATGTCATAATATGAGTTCAGGTGCAGCGTTGAGGAGGTGAAAGGGTGCATGTGTGAGTCAGTGTAATCACGTCGGAGTACCACAACAGGGGGTGCAGTCTGTACACATGTGTGTGCTTGGAAAGCTGGTGTTGACACAGAGACAGCCCCTCCATTGTCCTCCTCCATCTCCTGTCAGGATGTTTGAGGGACGCCTCATCGCTTGGCTCCCTCTAATCTCTGCTGGAACCAAAAACCCTGCGGCTGGAAGGCCTTGGCCCTCTAGGACGCTGTCGGCACCAGTATGGAAGAGGCACAGTTTAGGGGGAAGGTTACTGTTGAAGATTTTGGAGGAGGCAATTACAGATTACTCATGAGCGGTTTTTAAAATTGCAGTAAGTGAAATAACCTAAGGGATTACATTAAACCCACCAATTAATCCTTTGATTTAATAGCTTTTGATTTAATAATTTAAAGTCTAAAGTTTGAATTTCATGCTTTAAAATTAAAATGAATATTTTAACAAAGCTACATGAACAAAAATACTGTGGGACATTCGTCCGTACGCATGATGTGATTTTGTTTTTATTGTTGA